CCCCAAAACCCCAAAACCCCAAAACCCCACTGACAAAAAATGTCTGTGTAAAGTTAATAAAATAAAACAAATTTAATTTTATTTTATCCAGCTCTTTCAATTTTAATTATCACTATCACTTTAAAATGAATCAAGACACTCCTGCTTTGCTATCTTCTCTATTCACCTTAATTGCTCAGGAAGAGAAAAAAGTAAGAACATTCACAAATATTTAATCATTGATTGTAGATTGAAACTCATAGATCTGATATGGCTTTAGATTATTAATTCGATCCAATTAAGGCATTTTAAGCTCTTGATATAGACAATGACTCAGTTATCACAGCCAATGAAATCGTTGCTTTCTTGAAATAGTCTTTCATCAGAGTCTCAATTGCTGACGCTGAATTGGTTATTAAGGAATATGATGCCAATATGGATGAAAATTTAGACTTTGATGAGTTTATCAAGCTAGTTTTGCCTACAACCAATAAAATTCAGCATGATCTAGCAATTTAAAGAGCAAGCAATAATTACAATCAAGAATAGCCCTTATCTCCAAGAATTATTAAAGTCATTTCTGAGCATTTAGAGTTAGAAATCAATTTCCAAAAGAAGCGTAACGAGATTAAGCGTCAATTATTGCAGAGGGAGGACTTTATCAAGCAAGAATTCTTCAAATACATGTCAAACAATCAAAACTGCATCAGTGTTAGAGACCTACATGAGTTTATTAAAACCTTTGGGAAAACTAATCTTAGAAATGAAGAGCTAGAGGCTATATTGAGAAGATGCGATCATAATGCTGATTAGATGATTGGCTATGAAGAATTCTGTGATTTAGTTTCCAGTAATGAGAACAATGCATAATCGTGTGAAGAGTTAGAGGAGCAAAATTACAGAACATAGACTAAAGAGCTAAGAAGGGATATTACAGACTCACCTATAAGAAAATCACCAAGTAAAAACGATATTTATGAAAAATCTCTTGACGAAACCCTTGAATAATATCAATCACCTCTTGATAAAAAAGTATTGAGAAAGAACTAACAATAAAACAAAAGCAGCAGCTTAAATAGAGTTCTTGATTACAACCAAGATAATGTCCAAATATTGAATGGAAAGCAAGATGATGAAGAGGAGCAATAATAGGAAGATGAAGTATAATAAAAACCAGTTTAATTCAAATTCTTAAGTCTGCTTAAGAATCAAATCAAGCTTGACAAGGAGGTTGAAATATAGAAGGAGATCCTATTCTCGAACGTGCACTATAATTCTCTAGATGCCTTCAAATTGCTTGATAAGGAGTCAAAGGGATTTATTTCAACTGATGATATGATTAATCTCTTTGAAGGTCAACTTAATGCTAGTTCAATTGAAAAGCTGATTTACAAGCACGACAAAGATCAAGATGGCATGCTAAACTTCCATGAGTTCCAAAAAGTAGTAGCTCCTAAAAATGAAGCCTATGTTATTAGTCACAGATAAGAAAACAGCCAATTTTAATAGCAATCTACACTTCTTCACTAGAGCAGCTAATATGTGAGTTAGTAGAAGCATGTAAATCAAGAATAGCTACACAATGAATGGAAGGAAGATTTGAAGGAGGTGCTAATGACTGCCTCAAGAGCTGAGGAGATTCTGATTGAAATCAGAGATTCACTTGATATTGATGGCAATGAAGTGTTCAATATGATAGATAAGCTAGATATTGGCTACATCACTTTAAGAACTTTCCAAAACTGGCTGAAAGACGCTCTCGGCTTCAACTTAAATGATCTCGAGAACAAAATCATTCTTTCAAGATATGACAAGGATCAAGACTACAGAATCTGCCGAAATGAATTCCTAGATGAAGTGAACCTGGTCAATCAACCTCAAATAGATCAAGCAGATGACGATCAATAATAAGCATAGATGGAGGGAGAGCAAGACCTAGATAACGAGGATCAACAAGACGATACTTAGCTACAAGAGTATAAGAACTACCATAATCAAGATATGAGAAATAACAACCAATATAATCAAAACATGAATAATTAGAAACAGATGATTAACTAGGCTCATTACTAGTAAATGGATGATATTGAGGATGAAGGAGACTACGAAGATGACTTTGAAGATGAAGAGCAACTGGAATACCTCTAAAATCAGCAAAGATGAGGCCGTAAGTGACAATTGTAAGGGTATTTTTCGTTATTTATTGAACTAACTAACTAAGTAATATATTAAACAAGCAAGCATTCTATCACTTTATTAATTTACTCGCTAAAATTAAAGCAGTTATTATAGTGGGGTTTTGGGGTTTTGGGGTTTTGGGG